AGAAAGTCCTGGAGGCGGGACCTACATGGAGGAATCAGGTCCCCAGGAACGAGCTTTGGGGGGCGTGCAATTGTCCCCAGCCTGGCACTCTCTCCCTCTACCTCCCCTACGTCTCTCCCTCTCTGCTGTGAGATGAGAGCTTTGCTCTGACAGGTGCTGCCACCATGATGCTCAGGCTGCGCTCAGGCCCCAGGGGATGGAGGCACGCATGAGGAACGGAAACCTCTTGAAACCAGGAGCCCACAGCTTCAAGTGGTCTTTCCGGTTTCGTTGGCCCAGTGGTAACAGCATTCCTCACTGGGCTGTCTCAGCCTTTCCTGTGGTTCCCTAACCCCTTTCCCGCCAGCTTTTCAGACAGCCGCTCTGGTCTTTCTGCTCTTTCCAACACATTTAATGGGTTTTCTCACTTGAGAAAACGAAGTATTTTCCATCTCAGGATTCCCATAAGTCTCCCATGGCTGCCTCCTGTCCTCACGCCCAGTTCTGGAACTATAAATTCAGTTCAAATTCTTAATAACAAAACATTCTCACCAATGGAGCCGAAGATGTTATACACCTGCCCAGAGCTACTCGTCCTTTTGATAGAAGTCTGATGACTTTTCATGCTACTACAGCTAGTGAAGAAAGTTTAAAAGACTTTCCAGTTCTGTTTCAGGCCTATGAGACACATATGCAGTTTTCATGTTAGATTATCCGGAAAACAGAAAGTCTTAAGAGAGGCAAACTTTTCTGGTATGTCGGGTAAGGGGAAGTCATTTTCTGTAAGGGGGAACAGAAATATGATCACTTTGCAGCTTCTGTTTGGAACACTCTGGTGGTTTGAATGAGAATGTCCCTCCAGGGCTCTAAGATATTTGAACCCTTGATCCCCATTTGGTGGCACTGTTTGGGGAAGGTCATGGAACTCTGAGGAAGCGTGGCCATGCTGGAGGATACACATCACTGGGGGTGGGCTTTGAGAGTGGATAGCCACATCCCACTTCCAGTCTGTCACATTCTGGTTCCTGTGCCTCCTTGAAGACAGGTGCTCTCAAATTTCTGCTCTGGCTTCCCCCTGCTGTGTATCCCCAACCATATGGACTCTCCCTCTGAAACTGTTAAGTCAAATAAACTGTTCCTTCTATAAGTTGCCTTGGTCATGGTTTTTAATCACAGCAATAGGAAAATAGTATAAATGCTCTTTCTAAGAAACAAAATCACCTAAGGAATATATATTATCTCCTCTAACATTCCTCTGTGCTACTGTGCTACTTTGTGTCACCTCTCCTTCAGGGATTCCCAGTGCACATGGGCTCTCTGTCGACATCCCACATTGCATTTGTGCTTTATTAGGTCCTTTTCCACTTTCAACTTCAGTTTGCATCATTTCAGTTGCACGTGGTTCTATTTCTCTAATCCTTCCTTCTGCTGTGTCTAACATCTTTTTTGTACCCATCCAATGTGCTTTGTGTTGTAGGGTTTTTTAAAAAGTGTGTGTCTGTGTCTCTATGTGTCTGTGTCTGTGTGTGTACATGGATGATATGGGTGAGGGCACAGCATGAATGTGGAGGCAGAGTATAATTTGATGGACTCAGTTCTCTCCTTCCACCTTTACATGGGTTCCGGGAATCAAACTCACATAGCCTTGCTTGTATCACAAGTGCCTTTACCCACTGAACCATCTTACGCTCCCAAAGTGTAGCTCAGGCTGGCCTCACACTCATAATCCTTGTGCCTCCTTGTCTTCAGTGTCTCCTACCAGTGTGTGCCACCACAACTGATGGCTTTCTAAAAGGTTTTGTTTCTGATTTGTAAAAAATTGTTGTGAGACTATCTGATATAATCATCTTTCAACAAATTTATAAGCTGCAATACAGTATTGTTAAAGGCACCATGCTCTACAGTAAGTCTATAGAATGAATTCATCTTATGTAACTGACACTTTACATTTTACCCACTGAATGGCAAGCCCCCATTTCTCTCTCCCCACAGTATCTAGAAGCCACAACTCTACTCTCTGATCTCATCCATTTCACTATTTAAAATAATTTGTTGCAAGTGGAATCATTCAGGATTTGTCCTGTGATGATCTTATTTCACTTGGCATAATATCCCCAATGTTCATCCAGGTTCTTGCATATGGCAGGCTCTCCCTTTCAAAAATCTATCTGCATTATTTCTGGTTAATGCGTGTTAACTGTAGCTATTAATGGAGTTCAGTGTGATATTTCAGTGTATGTGTACACTGTGCACTTCAGTCTCCTTGTAAAGGCTGAATAATATTCCACAGTGGGCTGTAGGTATATATATATATATATATATATATATATATATATATTCTTACTGCTTCAGCTGTAGGACATGGAACTTGTTTCCAAATCATCCCTGTTATGAGTAATGCTGGAATGAATATAGGATGCAAATGTTTCTTTGGGATCTTTCTTTCAGTGTTTTTGGATAAACACCCAGAAGTGGCATATGGACAGCGTTTGGAAGTCATGTTCCTTATCTTTTGAGGAACTGGAATACTTTTTTCCCTCATAGCTCCTTTTTGTTTCTGGGCCTGACTATTGTTTTACAAACAGTATACTACTGACTGGGGATACTAAAGTTTTAGAGTGTATTTTTAGTTTTCCCGTGATTCCATGTACATGGAATTCCATGTATTTGTGTGTGTGTGTGTGTGTGTGTGTGTGTGTCTGCCTGCCTGTCCGTATCTGTGTATATGCTAGAAAACAGCCAAATAAGGTTGTCATCAACCTTATTTGTGGAGACAGTATCTCACTGACCTGGAGCTTGCCAAGAAAGCTATGCTGCCTGGCCAGAGAGCCCTAGGGATCCAACAGTCTCTGCCTCCTCAACTCTGGGATTACAAGCACCACAGTGCCTTTTTGCTGTGGTTGTTGTTTGTTTTTTTTCTGTGGGGGTTCTGGGGCTCTAACTTGGGTCCCATGATTGCAAGGCAAGCACTTTGTAGACTAATCTTTCTTCCCAGACCTTTAATGATTCCATTTATCTGTTGAAATTCACCATTTTTGTCAATATTTATTTTCTTATCTGTGCTGGATAGCTTTAGTTGTCAACTTGACACACCTGGATAGAGGGATCCTCAATTGGGGAATTGTCTCCATTGGACTGGCCTGTGGCCAAGTCTGTGGGGCATCTTCTTGATTATTATGTGATGTGGGAGGGGAGGGCCCAACCCACTGTGTGTGGTGCCACCCCCGGGCAGGTAAACCTGTGTAGTATAAGAAAGCAGATTAGCAGGGGCCAGGGGAATCAGCCAGTAAGCAGTGTTCTTACATGTCCTGTGCCTTCAGGTTCCTGCCCTGAATTCCTTCCTTGGGTTCCCTGATGAAGTGTGACCCAGGGGCATGTAAAACAAAATAAACCCTTTCCTCCTCCCCAAGTTGATATTGTTCAAGTGTTTTGTCACAGCAATGGAGAAGCAAATTAGAACGTTAACCTAATAGTGTTTTAAAGATTTTGTTTACCAGTTGTTGGTGTCGTTTGTGGATCTATTTCTATTAGCTATTCATTCTTTGGCTATATATGGAGGCTTTGTAGCTTCACATTTTCTTTTTTATTATACTCCAGATAGAATATATAACAGTCTAGGTTCTGTACTTGATACTGTTACCCAGCCCAGCCTTCCAAACAATTACTTGGTTCCTCTGAGAAGCTGACTACTTTATGACGGTTCATCTGTGTCAAAGTCAGACTGCAGTTTTCATTAATTTTAGTTTACTTTTGGTTTCAAGAGAATGGCACCTGTCCTGAAATTATGACATAACTTTCCTTTTTGTACTGTGAGGCTGCGGTAGGCTTCTGCCTTTTCCAGATCAGCCCTCAGCCTCTTCTCATTCCCAGTTGTCTGAAAAAGTCCTGCAGGGGAAAACCAGCATGAGATGAAAATTGGCTCCATGTCAGGGGCTTCTTCATGTTCCAATCTGTCATGCCCATTCTTCATAGCTGTTAAAAAACTATGAGGGTTTCTCTCTCCTCCCAATAATCTAATTTGACAAGCTAATTTTAGTTTATACTCAGATTTGGCAAATTCAGTCACTCCTGGTGAGAGAGGACATTGAGGAACAGCTATCTCTCTCTGCTTATCCGTCTCTTTCTTCTGTGGAATTTATATTTTTCAGTTGTTTACATTTGCCACTCTCAATTTCTCTAGATGTTTTCATGGGAGCAATGGTCCTTTTAGAAACTTACACTCTAATTGAAAATGGTATTCCTTTCTTAATAACTTCGGGAGTCATCAGAAATCAAAGTTACAAATATTCTAGACTATGTGCTGTGCTGTGCTCGTGTTCTTGTCTATTGGTGTTAGAAGAAACAAAAACTTGGTTATTGCTGTGGCATCACTATTGACCAGGTCCTTAAACCTTGTCATGACAGTCTGATGACAGAAAACAGCTTGGCTTGAAATAATAACTGTAGCAGTGTCTGAGTTTCTTTGTGACTGAAAGCAGATGCAGGAAAGAACATCTTGCTGTGTTGCGGTAGCATCTCATGCCCTCATGTAAGTCAGCAACAACTCGGCTGAACCATGTCTTAAGATACCACAATAGTATTAATATTTGTTATCAGTTTTTATTATGTAAATATTTTTCTTTACTGCATGTGACATTTCGAATAATGAAACTTGCATGATTTTCTTCACTAATATTTGGTAAATGTCTATGTAGGTTGACACCTGTATATCTTTTCCACACATGCAACATGACCTTTCTCATTTGAAAAACATTTTCAAATCATCAGAGAATTGTTGACCATATATGGAAAGAGTTTCATGAATAAATGTGTCTTGGAATTGCTATAAATATAAAATTGTTTTCTTGATATCATCAATGGTTGTTAACATATTAAGGATCTGAAGAATTTTGTAACAGTACTTCATACACATACTTTTTTTTAAAAGTTTGTTTAACTTTGCATTTCCACACAACGAATTTACTAAAAAATCTGTTTTCCTTTTTCCTAACTAATACCTCTTCGATCGGTGTTCCATACAGTATACTTCGGAAATGCTTCTAAGAGGACAATGAAGTTACTAAAGATAATGTTTATGAAATTCTTCAAAGAGCTACTCCAGCAAAGTAGCTCTAATCTCATCTATGATATGGTCTAGAAATCTTTCTTCTGCAAAGAGTTGGGATGTAATTTCAAAGACTTTTTGGATTATATGAGCATTTTATGCAACTATTGTTGTGATTCTGAATGCTGTGAAGCTTGTGAACGCATCCGAGCTAGGAGCCTTCAGTAGAGTAGGAAGAACCTGTTTATCTGGCATATGAGCTCTGGGAATGTTACACTTAAGGTCTGAATGGGAAGGTGCCTCCCCTCTAAAGAGGCATGCAGGTATGTATGTCTTTCCTTGTACATGAAATAATTTTTAGGTATTTAATCATGTGTGTTTGCTAATGTTTTCTAACCTTATACAAGATTTGTACATCTGACAATATCATGTGAAATAGAAACTACTGTTTTAATTTCTGTGAAATTAGCTGGACAGTCCTTACTAGCTAAAGTTTATTTTTAGCCACTGTAAATGTCAAGTTTTACACAATCAAGAGAAACACTAGATTGTCTCACTAAGTTTCATACACAAGGTGATCCAACTCCATGAAGTCATTCAGGGAACCTCCAATTACTGAAAACACAATGCAAGAATTCTTCACCTAATGGTTGGTTCGTGAATTTCTGAAAACTTATGGATGGCATCAGTGTTTTCTCTGACCCCAACACTCCTCTTATTTAAATCCCATTCATTCTGAGGTTTTAATTTACATTTTTTTTCTCAGAGAAAAGCTTGTGATCCCCACAAAGTCAGTCAAATTACAGTCCTAAGACTCTTCTCTCACAATAACCTATTATTCTAGAATTGCAAGTTTATTTGAAATTAAAAAGATCTAATGTCTGCTTTGTCACAGGGCTGTGAGTTCTATGATAAGGAAATGTTGTCTTCTTTCTCAGCACACTGCGATCAGTGCTAATAACAGTTTTGACACATAATACTCCATTGCTTGTTGATGAAGCAATGAAGTATACATTCCTTTTATGTAGAATCTAAAAACACTAAATTCACAGAAACAGACATGATAATAGTATTTGGCTGGTAGAAAGGAGATAAAGGGAGGTGTTGGATGAGCATGCAAAGATCCAGTCCTGCAAGAGGAAGATGTTTGGGAGATCTGGCATACAGCGGTGAGATTCAATTAACAATGCTATACTGTACTTGAGATGTCCAAGAGGGTATGTCTTCAGCATGCTTATCACATTAGTGAAGAAAAGGCTACCTATGTGAGCTAATGGATAGTGGACATGGTATTAATAGTTAGCCCAATATGTTGAATGTTAGTGAATGTATATGTGTACCATAACATCAAGTTGCATAGCAAAGGTTTTAGGACATGTGGTACAACAGTTTCCTCCCAATTAAAACATTGCCTTCTGGAGTGAGAAAGGAATGACGGTCTGAAGGTAGATAAACTTCATATGTCTAGCAACACTAAAACTTTGGTGATTCATGATGGACTCTCTTCAGCTTTTAGAAGCAGTAACTGCTGAGAAGACTCTGAACAGCCAAGCTGCTGAGAGCGTATCTCTCCGACCTGTTGAGTTTCATGCAAGTCATGCAGAGAACTCCAGGAATGCACTTTTTGTGAATGGTGACTTGTGAGTTTTTCAATGATGCAGAAGCTTTTGAGTCATCCCTACCCCAATGTGATGGTTTGAATGAGAATGTCTCCCATAGGCTCCAAGTCTTTGGACATTGTGTCCCTAATTGGTGGCACTGTTTTGGAAGGTCTCAGAAGGTGTGGCCATGCTGGAGGAAGCATGTCACTGGGGGTGGGCTTAGAGAGTTCTTAAGACTTGCCAGATCTCAAGTCACTCTCTTGTTTCCTGTGCCAGTTTGAAGATTTAAGAGCTTAGCTTCTGCTCTTCCTCCAGCCACCTCTGCCCCCATGCCTCCCCACCATGATGGACTCCTGCCCCTGGGAACCATAAGCTCAAATAAACTCTTCCTTCTGTAAGTTGCTTTGGTCAGTGTTTCTAGCACAGCAACAGAAAAGTAACTAATACACCCAATAAAAACTCATTGGTTCACCAAGATGGACTTCGGTGCCTGTGTTACTTTGGTTACTTTGGGCTGTCCTGGGTTCCAGCTCTGAGGTATGTTGGAAAAATTAACAAATAAAGGTGTCCCATGATTCCAAGTCTGGCAAGAGCATTCAATTTAAGTATTGAAGGAATGGGGCAGGGAACAAGAGGTCTATGTACGCATGTACACCTAAATCAAGCTTAGATGTCCTGATCGTCTCAGTTCTGGTCATGCAAGGTGGGTCTGCAGAAATCCTTTCTTTATGAGATGAGCTTGTTCTCAGAAGATGATTACTCATGCTCTAGGGTGCATATAGCCTCATCCTCATAGATAATTGTCCTCATCTGGGGGTCAATGGTCTGTCTTTTGAGGCTCTATTGTTCTTAGGATCCAAAGTGACTACAGTGTAAGGACAATGACTAGAAATTGTTAGGCAGATTTATGGGTCTGGAATGGGCCACTATAAAAAGCTGACAGTAAAACGCTTCAGCCTTGTATTAGTCAGGGTTCTCCAAAGAAACAGAACCGGTAGGATGAATATACATGTATAGAGATAGAGTCTGAGTAGTCCAACAATAGCTGCACCACACTAGAGAGGCTGAGAATCCATAGTCTCTCAGTCCACGAGGTTGGAAGCCTCAGTAGTCCCAATCTGGCACTGAAGGTCTGACGAATTCCAAAAGATCAGCTAGTCTTCAGTCTACAGCAGTAAGACGAACTCACCAGCAAGAGAGAAGACAAGCAGCAAGAAGCCAGGCGTTCTCCTCTGCCATGGCCTTTTGTATGGGCTGCCATCAGAAGGTAACACCCACATTTAGGGTGTGTCTTCCAGCTTCAGATGATCCAATCAAGAAGATCTCTCTCATTTCAGTTAATCCCAGATCCAGTCAAGTTGACACCCAGGATTAGTCATCACAAACCTTGAAGGGGGTGATATAGGTGAGGCAGACAGACATTCCTTAGTGATCATCACAGCTATGCAGAGTCAAGCAGGAGTTTGAGGCAAAGCGGCAGACACAATGAAAGCAGAGATGCCAGGCTTCATTCTGATTTTAGCTATCTGGTGGCCAAAGAAAGGCCAGTGTTCCTTAGCAAAAGCAGTTTCTTCTTTTCTTTTTAATTTTTCAGCTATCATGCCCAAACCTCTAACCAAGATTTTTGTTTTTATATTTTTATTGGATTTTTGTGAATTTCATACAACACATCTTGATCATATTTAAAGCCCCCTCCCCTATCTATACTCCCCATAGCCCTCCCTCCACTGGATTTCATTCATTTTATTATGTATGTTAAGGCCTATCAAGTCAAGTTTGTGTCCCCAAATTATCTCAGGGTGAGTCCATCCACTGGAGCCTGGTCAACCTATGCAGAGTCACTCCCTCAAAGAAGACCAACTCTCCCTCACCCAGTAGTCACTGGTTGCCAATAGTTTCACAGCCATTTCCTCACTTCCGTGCGGTGTCTTTGTCATTACGTAATTTAATTCTAGCAAAAACATGTTTGAATTGACAGATCCCAACAGCACAGCAGAGCCCTGTACTACATCCTTTTTGACTTCAAAGTAAAGGGTGGACTGGTTGGTTGAAAATTCCGAGAATCACCTTGATCGTCATAAATTTCTCCTCAAACTAATAGTCTTAAATATTAGGATTGATCTTAATATTAGGGCCGTTACAGAAAATACTTAGTTGCATGCATAATATACTTGTCGTTATTTAGATTCCCCTTGCCCAATCTTCCAAAAGAATCCTTTTTGTGTTATTGAAAAGTATATTGTTTAACAAGAAAACATGGTGAGATAAGTCACATCTGTGTTCATGTCTGGACCCCTAATTAGATCAGTTGTGGTGGGCAGCCACAATTAAACGTTTAGACACAACTGTGAGGGCCTTTCCCAGAGCCAAGGATTAAGCAAATTGTATCAGGCTTGTCCTTCCATTTGTTTTCCATGAGTTTATAAACCTTCAGTTTGCTGGTGGCTATTCAGTGTAGCATGGCTGTGGTGGTACCAGGTAGTAAAACTTGCCCAGCTACCTTCGACTTTAGCACTGCTAATCAGAAGAAATGGAAACACTGCTAGTTTTGTTCCAAAAAGGCAATGGCTGTTGGAAAACCATTTTTACTAATAGTTTTCTGACTTCTTTCAGGTCCCATGACTGGAGAGAAGTTTTTGTAACTGTTGCTAAAAACTGAGAAAGGTATTTAGGACATAGCCACTTTCAGTAGCTCTTAAAGAAAAGCTGAAAATACTGTTAGATAATTGGAAGAAAGATTCTCTACCTGCTCTCCTTCCTGTCTCCCCACGAGGCACATTTGATGGAAATACTCAGAGATGGGAAAAGCTCAACCCACAGATGAAGGGTTCATTCTTTCCTGACAAAAAGCCTATCATGGGAGAGAAGAATGCATTTCATTTGTCTTTGTAGCTGAGAAAGGTGGTGATGGGGGCGAAGGGAGAATACTGAGCCCTCGTTCTTCTTTCTGTTCTTCCTCTCCAGGCACCCAACACTCACAAACTCGGTCCGCATAGGGGAAGCTATAATCACTCTGTCTTAAAATTATCTTTAGAACCAAGTATCTATTTTTTGTATTATACTACATGTAATTCCAACATAAATGCAAAACAGGCTTCATTCTATGACTTGTTTCTACCAGGTTCAAACTGACATAAATTGACTCATGTGAGACAGGTTTAAAGGGCTAGACCTCTATAATGAATAATTAGCTAATCATACAATTTTTACAGCTGGAAGTTATCTAATCAAATGTCTTCATTTTACAGATGAGGATTAAGTCCTTGGCTCTACTCTGAGAACAGCCGTAAAAGTTCTTGGCTGCCTGAAGAAACAACTTAAATGACCTCTCATTACCTCCTGCATTAAATAAAAGCCAATGTTGACTAGATAGAGACTTAATAGAAACCAGAAATTTTTCTAAAGTGACTTATATGCTAGCATACTTTGTTTGGAAGCCACAATAGTTACTTCCTGAGATGGACATATTCTATGCGTTATTCCATTTTCAAGCAGTGGTACATACATTTGAGATGAGGTAGACAGTATAAAAATGCATCTGAGTATCTTTATAACTAATACCACATCCTTAACCCTTCCAGTTTTAAGACGATCGTTAATATTTTTCATTGTTTTTACTAACATGCTAATTGTATGTATCACTGAACAGAGTATATTTCTACATATGCATGCATCTGCACTGATCTAACCCAACCTCTGTTTACTCACCACATCCTCCACAAATACCTTTCTCAACCTTTAATCATCACTGTTATGTTTTCAGGTCAACTTTTTTGCATCTACATATAAGAAAGAACACGTGATACTTGACTTTCTGGGTCTGGCATATTTCACTTAATATAATATATTCTAGTTTTATTAATTTGCTACAGTGACATATTTCATTCTTCCAATGAATAAATGACTTTCCAAAAGAAACCCATCCATTGATGAACAACTATAGTGATTCCATATTCTACCATAGTGTTACAATAAACCCAGGCATGCCAACATGTGCTTGGTATGCTAATCTTACTTCTTGAAATGGAATATCTAGGGCATATGGTTTTTATTCATTTTTTAAGGAACTTCCACACTATTCGCCATAGTGACATTCCCACCAAGTATATGACTTCTTTTCTCCTATAGTCTAGTCAGCATTTGTTAATGCTTGTTCTTTTGATAATAGCATTTCAACTTAAGATGGTATCTCTTCGTACTTTTAAAAAATTATTACATTTGGTCTTTGACAGTTTCACACATGAATATATCACACTCTGGTTATTCTTATCCCCTACCCTGTCTTATCTCCCTCTAACACTTGGTAACTGCCTTCCTCTCTAGAGGTTCCTACCCATGTTCATACATGCCTTTTGTTTTGTGACCACTGAGTATAACCAGGGCCATCTGAGTGACCATGGGTATAGAACTATCCAGTGGTACCTGCTGGGCTCATCAGTGGACACACATCTGAAAATAATGACACCAGAACTCATTAATAAAGAGAAGCTTCTCTGTTTACTGATGAGAGAAGCACTTTCCAATGGATATGAGAAGATATTTAAAAGATAGTTTGAAGCCATGTATTTTCAGCCAAATAATAGAAGTTAATGGAGTCCCTTTTTTAAAGCTGTCAACCAGGGGTTCCATAGATACTTAAACAATACCGACCATGGCCTCTGTTCTTGGTTACTCACCAGAACTTCACGGTAGGACTCTAGTGCTGAAGACACTACGTACATGACCTATAGAGTAAAAACAAGGAGAAACCAAGCTGGTGGTGACTTCAAAGCCTCATCTCTACTGGCTAACTTTTGTAGTGCTGCAGGAAGGTTAAATGCGTGCTACTTGAGGAGAAAACTAATCATCAGTCTTACCCACCTGTGAAATCTGTGAGCTACAAAAACAACTGGCCCAGAAGATAGATCCACCTCTGCAACAGTGACACAGACAGTATAGGAGTCACCAACCACTTTCTAACTGGATTTAAGACCCACTTCATAGAAGCTGGGTGTGGTAGCACATACCTTTAATCCCAGTACTCGGGAGGCAGAGGCAGGCAGATCTCTGTGAGTTCAAGGCCAGCCTGGTCTACATAGTGAATTCCAGTTCAGCTGGGGATACAGGAAGACCCTGTTTCAAAAATTCCGAAAAAAAAAAATCTGCTTAGTAGGTTGGAG